CCTCCCTACTCAGTTGCTCCGGCCTTCAATGGTGGTTCGCGTGGGCTCTCCCATTCTTTGTTTCGCTGGATCACTGACAACTTTCTCAACTGGCAAAGTTTAATAATAATGTTTAATTGGTCTGTGCGCTGTGCACAGCAGCAGCAATATTCCGTTATAACCGACTCGCGTGACCGTCTGATTGTGCAATAGCAGTATTTTATTTACAAAGATAAAGAAGGAGAAAAAAATGGGGTTTTAGAATAGAGTCTTTATAACAGACTTCTCGTTGTTTTAGGACTCGTTATAAGTGGACTCCACTGTAATTGGTATCAATATAACCTCTGTCATAGTCCCGTAAATTGAAACAATTTCTCCTGTTTGATGTGACCTGCAACTCTCTTCTTTGGAGTTGTACTTCATTTACAGAGGTGATATATTGAACGCTCATTTACAGAGATGATATATTGAACGCTCATTTACAGAGGTGATATATTGAACGCTCATTTACAGAGGTGATATATTGAACGCTCATTTACAGAGGTGAGATATTGAACGCTCATTTACAGAGATGATATATTGAACGCTCATTTACAGAGGTGAGATATTGAACGCTCATTTACAGAGGTGAGATATTGAACACTGCTTTGCAGCAAGTTCCAAAATCTGGTTTGAGAAAATGTTGGAGTTGATCCATATGTGCATGGCTCTTTGAAACAATTAGTACTTTGATATTTCACATTTGAAATAATTTTACAAAGAATTTTTCATGTTTAATGCGATCTGGTTGTTATTGTACTTTTAAAAAGACTTTAGAAAGTTGTTTGTTGTTAATTGAGTGGTTTGTTTGTTTTTGACAACCACAGGTTTACACAAAAATGTTGGATGGTGTACTTGAAGGTAGGTTCATTTTTCATTTACAAGTGCATCTGTCGTCACAGAAATGGGTGGTTGGAGGGTGCCACTGATTGGTTCTTTTTCTTTCTTTCCCTCTGTTTTTTGTGTGTCTGTCTGTCTGCCTGTCTGCCTGTCTGTCTGTCTGTCTGTCTGTCTGTCTGTCTGTCTGTCTGTCTGTCTGTCTGTCTTGCTTTTTCAATGCAGTAAATAGCTGTTATTGTTTCGGTGTGCTTCTCTTAGCTCAAATAAACAAACATTGGCCCAATGAATTTCTCTGTTTAATCCTGCTTTACAGGGTGAGTTAGAACCATTTTCATTGCTCATTTTCCGCTGGTAGTTGGAGGGCGCCGCTGGTAGGTCCTACTTCTTTACTTTCCCTCCATTGTTTTGTATCTGTCCGTCTGACCTTGTCTCAGCACTAAATGACCATGATTGTGTATCTGTCCGTCTGACCTTGTCTCAGCACTAAATGACCATGATTGTGTATCTGTCCGTCTGACCTTGTCTCAGCACTAAATGTCATGATTGTGTATCTGTCCGTCTGACCTTGTCTCAGCACTAAATGTCATGATTGTGTATCTGTCCGTCTGACCTTGTCTCAGCACTAAATGACCATGATTGTGTATCTGTCCGTCTGACCTTGTCTCAGCACTAAATGACCATTGTTTTGTATCTGTCCGTCTGACCTTTCCTCAGCACTAAATGTCATGATTGTGTATCTGTCCGTCTGACCTTGTCTCAGCACTAAATGACCATGATTGTGTATCTGTCCGTCTGACCTTTCCTCAGCACTAAATGTCATGATTGTGTATCTGTCCGTCTGACCTTGTCTCAGCTCTAAATGACCATGATTGTGTGTCTGTCCGTCTGACCTTGTCTCAGCACTAAATGACATGATTGTGTGGATGGGCTTCTTATTACTTTAACAAAACAAACAGAAAGCTAATTTTTCTGGCAACCATGACGATATATCGTTCATCATTGTCGTAGTGCAAGCACAAAGCTACGGGTAGTTGGAGGGTGGTGCCACTGGTTGCTCCTACTTTTTCTTTTCCTCTATTGTTTCTGTTTGTCTTTGTTACTTTTTCCCGTCATTTAAGTGGCGGCTATAATGCCCTGCCAGCTTTGGCGCTTTCTGTAGCCCACCTAGCCAGTGGCAGTGTAGCTGTTGACCCAGCTAGCCAGTAGCAGTGTAGCTGTGGACCCAGCTAGCCAGTGGCAGTGTAGCTGTGGAAGCAGCTAGCCAGTGGCAGTGTAGCTGTGGACCCAGCTAGCCAGTGGCAGTGTAGCCGTGGACCCAGCTAGCCAGTGGCAGTGTAGCTGTGGAAGCAGCTAGCCAGTGGCAGTGTAGCTGTGGACGCAGCTAGCCAGTGGCAGTGTAGCTGTGGACCCAGCTAGCCAGTGGCAGTGTAGCTGTGGAAGCAGCTAGCCAGTGGCAGTGTAGCTGTGGACGCAGCTAGCCAGTGGCAGTGTAGCTGTGGAAGCAGCTAGCCAGTGGCAGTGTAGCTGTGGAAGCAGCTAGCCAGTGGCAGTGTAGCTGTGGAAGCAGCTAGCCAGTGGCAGTGTAGCTGTGGAAGCAGCTAGCCAGTGGCAGTGTAGCTGTGGACGCAGCTAGCCAGTGGCAGTGTAGCTGTGGACGCAGCTAGCCAGTGGCAGTGTAGCTGTGGACGCAGCTAGCCAGTGGCAGTGTAGCTGTGGAAGCAGCTAGGCAGTGGCAGTGTAGCTGTGGAAGCAGCTAGCCAGTGGCAGTGTAGCTGTGGAAGCAGCCTCTGAACAGGAATTGGAATCTTTATCAAGTCTTAATGTTTGTTTTTGTTGCATTGACATTGTTGCTGTCACTTATTGTCATTTTCGCAGTTTTGAAGGGAGTAGAAATGACAAGCCACTGGTGAAAGTGTGAGTGCAGAAGACTTTGATAATATCCCTCACATTAGTCATTAGCTGAGAACACAGTTCACAGATGGCCAAAGAGATGTGTACAGGACATAGGTGGGGGGTTCTCAAATGCTCTCCTATCATTTTTCTCAGTCTACCTGTCAGAGCAAATTCTTTGTTTATTTTTAGAACTGACTTGGCCTTATGTTGGAAAGTCACTGGTTTGCCTTTGTCTTTCAAAACCTGACAATTTCTGATGTTTCAACTGATGACTAGAAAGATTGTATTGGAAGCCTCAACACTAGAAATATATAATACATCAGATGTTTTTGTTTAAAAAAAATGTCCAGTGTATACTTGTTGTGTTGAGTCTCATATATAACCCGTTTGTGATTTTCTCAAGTAGTCATCCGTAAAAGTAAAGTTGTTCCCGCATCCGACCCGGACATTGAGGATTGCCTGGTTAGTGAGACAACTTCCTGGGCCTTCGGCATATTGTGGTAGGGTGGTCAGTTCCTTTCCACGCCGCCTTTACTTCCCCAACTCGAAGTCAGGCACCCATTACTGCTGGGTGGGAAGGAGGGGGTGAAAAAAATCCGTGTCTGAACCGAGGCTCGAACCCGGACTTTCCGCTTTGGAGAGGAGCGCACTAACGCTCTGTCACCGCACCCTCATCAGTATATCTAATAAAAGTAAACTACGATGGCCCTTATTGGTGCAGGCCCTATTTGATGTGTGTCATATTGGGGTCGTTGGGGAAGTGTCTTACAGGAACAGGGTACAGCTGCCTGTCATTGTCAATGTGCTCAAAGACAGGGAGGTCGGAGGGGTGGGGGTGGG